CGAGGATGATGTCACGGCACTCTAGCCTGGGCAACACAGTGAGACTCTGTCTCAAAAAAAAAAAAAAAAACAAAAAAACTGGAACTCTCATTAACCATTGGTGTTAAAAGCCTTAGTGAAGTCTGATTTAGACCTTGAAACTCTGACTTTTGAACATTCATTTATTTAGGCCTTTGTTACTCTAGCTTCTAGGACCTTGAGTAACTATGACATTGAGTAAATTAGATATGCCTTAACCCAATTTCAGGCTCCCCTCATCTTCCTTAAAAACAGCCAGCAGTTAGTGCTTGACAGTATGGATTCGGAGCCAATAGTAGCTCACTCATACATTGAGTGGTGTGTTGAATTTTTAACAATAGACCTTCCATTCATCTCACATGTTTTTGTTATCTTGTCCCCACCCCCCACACCACTTTGTTTTCCTTGTAAATTTCCCTTGAAACTACTACTTTAATTTAATTTGAGCTGCCTTGCAACTCTTAATATTTCCCAGAAGAATTTATTCTTGCTTTTTATAGCATTTACTTTTTTAAATGTTTGAGCCTTTGTCTACAAACTTCAGTCCTTAAACTGAAATTTCGAATAATGAACTTAATCTGGTTTTCCCTTTGATGTTTCTCTCCTAGATAAACCATTTTACCTACGTCTGATAGTCTCTTCTTTTCTCAAGTTTTTTATGACCTATTATTTTCATCTTCCTGACAGTTCACATCTCTCCACAGTCAAATTTTTGATATAACCAAATCATATTCTACTTTAGTATGGCTTAATTACACTATAAATTTTAACACTGTCTTATTGACCTCCTTAGTGGATAATGATATGCATACCACCTATATCTAATTACATGTAGTAATAAAAAAGATAATGCATATATATTAATGTTCCACTATTTACCCAGGGATAACATCTATCTCCTATAATATTAATATTAACTCCCATGGTTTCTAGTGTAGTTATCAAGCAGGCCATAGGTGAATTTTGATAGGTGTTTCTTTGCTTATTTAAACTTTCTTAGTAGTAATAACACTTTTTAAGTGTCTTACAACAGGGATGTTGATAATGCGCGAGGCTATGCATATATATATATTTGTGTTATGTGGGAAATTTGTACCTTCCTTCCAATTTTGAACCTAAAAGTGCTCTAAAATAATAATGTTCTTTTTTTAATAAAAAGTCCCACAAGATATACTGTAAAAGGATTTCAGGTGTTCCTTTTAAATCGCCTTCCATTTAAACCGAGTAAAATCTAAAAGGTCTTTTTTGCAGAAAAGCCTCTAAAGACCTTCTTGTTAACACTTCCAGTAGCAACACTTACATAGTAATAGCTTGGTACTCTGAATTTGTTGAAAGAAACTATTATCAATAATTTTCTTTCTCGTAATAGGATTTGCATAGAGTCATGTTTTGCTTATGCTTGCACTGCTTTGGCTTTATTTAAGACAATATGGTGAAAGAACCCTAAGTCTTTGTTCATGTCTTAAAGCCTCCAGTAATCACCCTCATGGCATATGAAAACTTAGTCAACTGCAAAATTAGAGAGAATAGTCCACATAAGACTGCCCTCACTTCGAATACCAATTGCAAGTTTGAGGGGTTCCCCAAACTACTCTCAGGGTTGATAATTTGCTATAAGGCCTCCCAGAACTTACTGAAAACTATTACACTGATGATTACAGGTTATTACAGGAGAAGGATACAGGTTAAAATCAGCCAAGGGAAAAAGTACATAGGGCAGAGTCTAATAAAACTACCAAAGGCAGAGCTTCTGTTGTCCTTTCCCCATGGAGTCATGGATGACTTACTTTCTCAGCATCAATGAGTGACCTTACTCACAGAGTTTTGCTAGCCAAGGAAGCTTACCTGAACCCTGGTGCCCAGAGTTTTTATTGGGGCTCAGACACATCCTGCTCATGTGGCTGACCATTAGTCCCCAGCTCTTCTGGAGGCAGAACTGATACCACATGGCCCAAGCCCCCATCATAAATCACATTGTTAGATTGTCCAGTGGCTAAAGCTCCCAGGCAAACAAAGACACTCTGTCTGTCAGGCATAGTTCGCCTCCCCATAGCCAAGGGCAGTGCCCTCTCTTTGGATAAGATTCGATCCTCGCTACACAAAGCACCATCCACAAATTTATAATAGTAACGTATTTCTAGTGCTTTACATGAGTCTGTACTCTGAGCATATGGGGAAGCTTTCCATAAGAAATTGCACATTTCTGTTCAATAAAGTGGTAAGCTTACATTATAATTTCCACTATTATTTCCTTCATAAGTACATCTTTCTCTCTTCATTTCTTCTTTCTACTTACCAACCCCTGTGTCCTGTCCTCTACTTTCTATTTTACATTAATTCAGTTTTAAATAATGCTTAATATAAGATACCTTATGTTTTACTGGTTTTTTCTGTCAAATAAAAACAATTTGTGGCTTATTTTTTCTCACTTTGTTTCCATATAGCAATTTAATCTACTAAACACTTTCAAATATTTTGTCAAGATTAACCAAGTCTTCTGAGGAATGTTTTCTCCATTTTCCAGGTAGAGAAACTGAGCCATAAAATTACTTCTTCAAGACCAAGTCAGGCTTAGAATTAGTTTCCCTTTTCTACCTAAATTTTACAAATGGGGGTGCTAAGTTGCTGAAACCAAATTTCATTATGTTCAAGCCTCGATAATTTTATGATCACAGGGTACTGAAACAAAGATATAGATATAGATATATAAGATGCATGTGGAAAGGGTAAGTTTTGTTGTAGATGTATTTTCTACCTCATTAATTCAATATTCTGCTATAGCAACATATATGAAATGCTACTTTGAATAGAAATAGTTAAATTTGGACACTAACATTGCTCTTTCCTCATTATTGTTATATTCTGCATTGCTGTCTTAGGATGTCAACCATGGATTAACTGAGGTAAGTTTGGTGTAATAAAGTCTCATGTTCAGAGTAAGATATACTCTTTTTTGTCCTAAGTGATGGGAGAGCCAAAGGTTCCTTTTCTGTATGATTTTTATATGTGTGTGTGTGTGTATATATATATATATATATATATATCATTCTTAAAATTAAGTCTATAGAAATTATCCTGTTTTAACATTTCAGAAGAATTTTCTGAAGAAAAGTAACGCCTATTTTAGTTAACATTACACCTATATGATGCCTTTCAACAATATTTGCTTTAGAATAGTTCCTATCCTCCTCAAATCTTCCAATATAAAATGTAATGTGTCCTCACAATATAAAAAAGCGAACTTTTACTTTAAAATTTGATAAATGCCTACCTAATAAGGCAGAAAACATTTTATATTAGAGAAGTAAAATGAGCTTTATTTTTTTAAACTAATAATTGGTAATCAGAATGGTCACAAAATTAAGCTCTTTCATTATGATCTTTCTCACTTTGTCTCACATGCTATCGTAATATATAAAGTTCTAGCACTTTGGCTTACGTAGTAAACAACCCTAAACTGCCCTTTTAACACTTGGGAACATTATAATACTTCTTTTATCTGTTAGAGATGTCCAGTTTTGCTTTGCTTTGCTTTTTGTTTGTTTTTTGCTATGCTTTTTCCGGCACTTGAACCAATAAGGCATTTTGAGTTAGCTTTAAATTGTAGGTCTAATATTGTTTGCTTCCTCATTCTCAGATAGAAGTAAAGTTGTGAAAACATGGTGTTTTGGAGCCAAAGAAGCACTTTAGGAATACTTAAATCTTTTTGAGTTTCAGAGAAGTAAACTGACTTTCTATGATCAATAGCTATGTTTTGCCACTAATATAGGATGAAGGTGTAAACTTTGTCACATGGGAGATTTTGAAGAGTGATAATTTATATCAGGTGCATATAACTCACATATTGTCTCATATGTTGAGAGCAAAGAATTGATAGTGATTGGGCAATATTAGATTAATTTGTTTTTGGTGGCTATAGATAAGAGAGACTTAGATAAATTGAAATATATTCAAGAGAAGGCAGGATAAAAAAGAGCTAGAAACCATATTATTTTCAGAATGGCTAGAAACACTGGGAATGTTTAGAGTGGAAAAAAGACAATTTAGGGAGAGAATGATCAGAACTTAAAATATTTCAGTCACGTACACTTCCCTGCAGGAGCAAAACAAAGACTAAACGATGCATAGTGATATATAGAAATGCAGATTTGGACTTAATATAAAGAACTTTTTGATCACTTCATAAGAAGGGATTGTTTATGGTGTATTGCTGCTTCATTGGAAGCCTTATAACAGCAGCTCCGCGTCAGGACAGGCACAAAAGTATTGCCTTGTTTAGATGATAGGAGTAGATCTTCTTCCAACTGCAAGAAAGTATGACTGACAACTGATAACTCTTTGTATTTTACTGCACTGTTAAAATAATTAGCACTCAATCACTGCATTATCTGCTAGGATAAATAATTGTTTCTGATAGTGATAATAATAGATTAGTTCTGCTAACTTTAAGGGCTAACAGAATAATAATACTAATATTGCTTTTTTTGTATGTTAAGTGAATGAACAGAGTGTTGAACTCATAATTTTGGGACCCTAATGACAATGACATTCAGTAAATATTTGTTAGCTGAAGGAATAGGCCGATTACTTATAACTGGCCTCAGTTGCTAGAGTAGCCCTAACATGTGGGAAGTGGATACTGTATTTAACATAGAAGCCCCTAATTTTAGAATAAGTTTGCAACCTCATGTGCTGAAACTTGGAGTTAATGTATGCGAAGCAAAAGATACTTGTAATTTATAATTTTATGGACTCTTAAATATATGGTTCCCTCCTAAAATTGGGAATTGGCTTTATTCCAAAGCCTCAACTAATTATTAATAAAAATTCTATATTCAGAAATAAGCAACCTGTTTTATTTATAATTCCTTAACCACATGTGAGTAAACTAAGAATATGATCAACTTTATAAGAAACGACAGCACCCACAATAAGTTTATCACAAATCAATTTGTACTAATAAGTTAATTTTTTATTTCCAGTTGGCAGATATCCCTGTTACAATCTGCACATATCCATTTGTATTTGATGCCCAAGCAAAAACTACTCTGTTACAAACAGATGCAGTCTTACAGATGCAGGTAAAATATTGTATAGTACTAATCTGATTTGAGAGGGTTTTTTAAAATTGTTTCTGTGATGTTTTTAGAAAATAAATATTTGAAATTTGCCTATAATCATTAATCAATGTACTCAAAGGACCTTGGATAGCTACAAAGAAGACTGCCGCATGTGCCATGTGTATTCTTAGGAGGGCTGCTTATAAAAAAGGGCTGCAATGAAAATAGAATAATTTAGACCGTAATCAGTTTGTATCTTAAAAAATGGTATAATCCTTTTCATTACAGAAATATGCAATCTTTATGAACAGTGTTAACTAGTTTGCTTGATAAAATATTGGTTTGTTTCAAAATCTTGCTTCATTATGTATTTATATACTTGATAAAAGGTGGAAGTCACTAGTGAGATGATGTTAAAGTAAGAAGCATTTGATCACTTGTTAGGAGGATGTTAAAATTTCCTTGAAGAAAGTTTTAGTAATAAGCTATTTTCCTGAGGTTGCTCATCATTATCTCCTGTTCCTCTTTCTTCTCCCATTCCTATCTCCCTGGCCCCCCTTCCATTTTATGTTGAGCATTCTTTCATTTTTTAAAAACTAATTCATATTATGACTTTGAAGAGTTACAGTAAGTTTGCTTTATCATTTAAACCTGTAAATAAAAAAGATTTTGAGCTTTCTCCTCTGGTATAGAATATCTCACTATACAGGATAAGGACTAAGGAAAGGATGAAAAGAGACTTTGAATGTTTAATATTCTAAAAATACTTTTTAAAATTTAAAAACCCTAAATCTTAATAATCGTTTTCATTCTGTTCAAGTAAATGCATGTGGTATTCTAAATCCCTCCACATATTTTAATAAATACTAGGAGGAGTTTTAGAGATGAGCTTATTTCCATTTTCATCAACAGAAATAAATATTTTTGTAGGTTTCTGTGCTAACAACTAGTAAACCAGTTTTTTGGAGGTCTTTGTTAAAATGGTAAGTTAATAACTTAGGTGCTTTTAATATGGGATATTCCATTTTAGACAAGAACCCAGGGAAAACGATAGGAAAAGAATAAATGCTTTAGATGATAAAAGCCAAATGCTTGGTTTGTGAACACATGCGATGATCACCCTAGTAGATGGATTTCTGTAGTACTTCCTTAGGTTGTACTAATTCTCTGTAAAGGTTTGTTTTATGCTGTTTTTTTTCTCCTCAATCTCTATCCCTACTCTCCAGTTTTAGATTTACCATTATTATCATAATTCTATGCTTACTTAATGGTGTTATGAGTTAGACATTAATATAAAAAATTTAAAAAGATACTCTTTATGTTCAGTTCAATTTTTATGCTGTACTAGATACTCTGTTAGGTGTTGTATGAATTCAGTAGCATAGGAATTATTATAGGAATTATTGCATACCTATACATAATAGGTAGATGTTAGCTTATCCAGTCACAATAGCTTCTTTGTAGCATTGCTATTAAAATTTTAATCTTTTGTTTTCTAGATGGCCATTGACCAGGCCCACAGACAGAACGTCTCCTCTCTTTTTCTCCCAGTGATTGAATCTGTGAATCCCTGCTTAATTCTAGTGGTGCGTAGAGAAAATATTGTAGGAGATGCGATGGAAGTCCTCAGGAAAACAAAGAACATAGATTACAAAAAGCCACTCAAGGTAATTTGACATTTTCTGTTTTATAATTGGGGCGTTTATTCGGAAGCTGTGTTTCAAGTTTTCCTATTTGTTTTTAGTGAGTGAATTTTTAAAATTTAATAAATATAATTATGTATTTTTTTAAATGATTGTTGAGCATTTATACGTAATGAATAACATGTTATACGGTCTCCAGAATGTACTTTGATTTCTTTCCAGTCTACTCAGTGTTTGCATTATGCTATTGTAGGTTATATTTGTTGGAGAAGATGCTGTTGATGCAGGAGGGGTACGCAAAGAATTTTTCTTGCTCATCATGAGGGAATTATTGGATCCTAAATATGGCATGTTCAGGTATTATGAAGATTCCAGGCTCATTTGGTTTTCTGATAAGGTAAATGTCCAACGGTCTAAATTACTTCTGTGTATATACCTATGTATGTATACCTATATGTGCCAAGTTAACTCAGTATATAAGAGTTATTACTAGATTCCTACTATATTTTGTTCAGAGATCTGCTTTATTACAATTTTAAAAATTACAAATTTTTGGACTTGGAGTCATCAAAACACATTAATGCTTACCACACATTTCAAATTAACAATGTTGACTATTCCTTCTGCTGATTTCAATTTGGGGATTGAATAATAATTGCCAGATTAACTTTTCTTCTGGGAAAAATTCACTTATCATTAGGTATCATTGATCTCTCTACCTTATCATTTAGGTCAGGGCTTAGCAAACTTTAGTCCATTAGCCAAATTCTTCCCACCACATGTTTTTGTAGATAAAGTCATGCCCACTCATTTACCTATTGTCCAGGATGGCTTTCAAGCTACAACAGTAGAGGCAGAATTGAGTAGTTACACAGAGACCTCATGGCCAATAAAGCCTAAAATATTTACCACCTGGCTCTTTACAGAAAAAGTTTCTTGACCCCTGATTTAGAGACTATAAGTGAAATGAATGGTCCATTTGTAGAGCTCTGAGTTGAAAGAAATTTGAGTAGAGTATCTATCTATCGGTTATAAAAACCTCGATGTACTATTTAATCCTTCTGTCAGGCTGGCGGTCTTGTATGATGTTAGCCACTGTTGATGCTCAGTGCCTAGAGCCATTAATTCATTAGGAGTTGCAAAATGGTGCCACTCTAATTCTAATATTTCTTTTTCATTTATTAGCTTGGATACTTCCAGATAGAGAAATTTTCCCACACTGTTTGATTCCTTAGTAGTACAGTTCATGTGGGAAAGGGTTTATTCTATTTACCAATTTTTCAAAAGAATAAATCAGTTCATTATCATTTTCCAGTGGTAACAATGCAGTTCTTGGTTTTGTTTTTAAGTATCATTATATATTCATGGATTTAAGCATGTCTGATGTTTTCCAGTCCATTGCAGTTATTGTCTTTATAGATGCTTATATTGTCCCATCTTTGTCCAGGGAGAATTCTTCAAGCTGGTACCTGAGTCCTTTTGAAACAACCTTAGTACTCTTTGGTGGCTTCCTCGCTACCTAGTGTACTTGATGTGACAAAATGTTCCAGACTTAAACATTTACTGCTTAACAATACCAACATTACCACTAATATTGTGATTACTCAACAAATTTTTTAAACTGTTTTACAATTCTTTTTGACCTTAGGACGTACCCTGACCTTAGGACGTACCCTAATAGAGATAGACAACCAAATAATAGTGTTTTCATATCACTTGAAGTTGTTATATTCTGTATAATTATACCACCAAGTAGTTACACATTTAAGTTGTTTTTTATTTTTAGGTATTACCTGTTTAAATTTAATTTTATAATACAAAATATTTATGTAGTTCCAAAGTCAAATCTATAAAATAAGATATATTAAAAGAAGTCAAGCTCTACTTTATATTCTCCCTCCTCTTACGGATAATCTTTTTAAAATAGGGTAATCTTTTTAAAACTTTGTGGGTTATCCTTTTTTTAAAAAAGTAAATATAAGTAGATAGCAGTATATTACATACCTAAATCAGTTTCCTGGTTTTGACCATGGTTATATAAGCTGTTATCATTGGAGAAAACTGAGTAAAAGGTACACAGGAATCCTTTATACTGCTTAAACAATTTGTGAGTTTTAAAGTGTTTTAAAAGAAGATTTATTTTTTAAAAGCAGTAATATGCATATTTTTTTTCTTCATGAAGACAGGGTATTTTATTATAGGTGGGAAATTGGAGCATGTTTGCATGTTGTTGTGATTAATTACTCAAAAAGTGAAAAATGAGTGATGAAGGAGGAGATATCAGTTGCAGGAGCAGAGTCCTTAAGTTGTGAAGAAAGAATGGGGTTTAGTGCACTAATGGAGAATTGACTGTAGTTAGACACATAGATCCATAATATCCAGAGGGAAAGCCACATATATATGTAAACACAAATCACTTGATAGATTTGATGGTAGGATGTGAAGTTGTCTTGATATTGTTTCTATTTTATAGTGAAATAAGATGCAAGGTCATTAGAGGATTAAAATGGGAGAAGGATGAAGGAGTTTTGAGGAGAAAGGAGAAGTTGTGAAATTATCATTTTGGGGAATGGGAAAGGAAATTGACCATGTAAATAAATATAAGACTAGACTGGTAGCATTGAAGGCCCACTTGAGACTTATATTCATGAATTTCAAATGAGAGCAGTTGGCTTGGTTGATATTTTATGTTTTTTGTTTTTTTTTCCTTCTCTCTTTAGTCACATTTAGCTGCTTGGGTAGAAGTAAGGAAAAGGCCAACACTTGATTTTAACCAGGTTGTGGGTTTTTGTTTTTTTTTTTTTTTTGAGACGGAGTCTCACTGTGTTGCCCGGGCTAGAGTGCCGTGGCGTCAGCCTAGCTCACAGCAACCTCAAACTCCTGGGCTCAAGCGACCTTCCTGCCTCAGCCTCCCGAGTAGCTGGGACTACAGGCATGCGCCACCATGCCCGGCTAATTTTTTCTATATATTTTTCGTTGTCCAATTAATTTCTTTCTAATTTTAGTAGAGACGGGGTCTCACTCTTGCTCAGGCTGGTCTCGAACTCCTGAGCTCAAACAATCCGCCCGCCTCGGCCTCCCAGAGAGCTAGGATTACAGGCGTGAGCCACCGTGCCCGGCCCAGGTTGTGGTTTTAACAGGTGAGTGTAGCACAGAAGGGAGTAAACCAAGAGAGGGATTTATGTTGATGGACCATACAATTTAAGTTTTGTGAGGACTTGGTTTGGAGATGATAATAATTATTAGTAATAAATAAACAAGTGGTGGAGTCAGTGGATTGCACTTGATGGTGGAGGTGAATTGTAGTGTGGGTCAGGATTAGGGAGACTGAGATGAAGCTAGAGATGATGGTCACAATAGGGAATGCCTTAGAGAGTTGAGATTTGGAGAGTTGCAGTTGAATATAAGATACAACCATGGGAATAGGTGTTTGAGGTGTGAAGGAGGACAAGATTGTTGAAAGTAAACAGGTCCAGAAATTGAGAGGCTAGAGTGTTGGATGCATTTTTTGCCTAGATATTGAAATCATCAAAAACAATGGCAGGAATAGTAACAGAGAAAGAAAGCGTAAAATATTGCCAAAATCTGTGAATGAGGGATTGTGGAAGGTCTTTAGACAGCCGTACAAGGAACAATAGCAGGGGTTATAGTGAGTTGATAGATGTTTCAGAGAAGTTGGGGTTTTAGGAAGGCAAGTTAGAAGCATATATAGCAGCACTGAAGAGCAAGGAGAGACCTGCCTTACCTCTAGGCCCCATCATATGAGGGGTTGGAAGAGAGAAAAGACAGCATTTATGATCACTGCAGGGGAAATGGTGTCCTCAGGAGACAGCCTTGTTCACTTAGAACAAAAAGGGAAAGAAAATTTGGAGAAGTTTAGAATACAGGCAGTTTTCAAACGATACATTGTGAATTCCAGAGCAAACAGTAAAAGGGCTTGGTAGAGCAAGGACAGTCATGAAATTATGTTATATTTTAGGAGATATTCAGTGCCATGTGGATGTGGGATTAGGGTTAACTTGTGAGTTTTCAGGCTTTGTATATTGGTAGGAAAACAGGCATGGGAGATACAATGGAATAGTCCTAATGGCTTGAGATGGGTGGATGACCCGTCGAGGTAGATAGCCGCCTTCCTGGCATTCACCTCTTAGAGCAGTTTGTAGTGGTATAACAAGTATAATTTGAGAGGGCATATGGGGTGGGGACCTGTCCTGCTAGGAACACAAAGAATTCTGCAAAAATAGGTAGTATTTTGAGACCAGGTGAGGGATACTTGTAACAAGTTTTATGATGGATCTCTGTGGGACCTTTTCAGTTATACCTCAGCTTAGCCAATGAGAGCCCCCTAGAGCTGGCTCACCTTTTGTGTACTTTTGACATATCCCCATTATTCTTCAGGCATTTCCTTACATTGGGTACAGTAAATGTTCCAGGCTTATCTTGTGTTTTCTCTTCCCCAGCCCTGGCATTAACCATATTTCCATAAGAGCTTTCTTGTCTTTAAGAGGAAAATGGTATTTGGAAATCAAGTTCTGGATGCCAAGTATACTCGTTGCTGCCAGGGAGTCATTGCTTCATGTTTTTCTCAGCAGAGAAGCAGGAACTATATATGTGTGTACACACATGCACATACAGATCTATCTATATTTATGCCCATTTATATGTTGAAGATCATGAGATCAGACTGATACCTCTAATTCTACCCAAATACCAGAGTTTACTCTAGCCTTCTCCTTTTCCACATTGTGTATATAACTTTCAACACCAATGAGAAATCTGCTGTCATCTTTAGGGTATTTACTCAGTCTCCCTGTATGTAACCAGTCTTTGGGGGGCACTGGTCTAAAGCTCAGCCTCATATATACTGGACTACCGTCCAAATTCCCTTTGTCATGTTAAGAAATTCCCTTCTGTCCCTTGTTTGTTAGGTGTTTTTATCATGGAAGAGTATTGGAAATACTCTTTTGTCTAGTGCTTCTCCTACATCACTTGAGATGATCGTGTGGTTTTCTTTTTTCATTTTGTTTATATGGTGAACCACTCTTGCATTCCTGGGGTAAACCCAACGTGGTCATGGTGTATAATCCTTTTAATATGCTGCTTGATTCAGGTTGCTTTTTTTTGTTTGTTTTTTGGGAGGCAGAGTCTCACTATTGCCTGGGCTAGAGTGCAGTGGAGTCATCACAGCTCACTACAACCTCAAACTCTTGGGCTCAGATGACTCTCCTGCTTCAGCCTTCCAAGTAGCCAGGACTATAAGTACACGCCATCATGCCTGGCTAATTTTTCTAATTTTTTTTGGAAATGGGGTCTTGCTCTTGCTCAGTCTGGTCTTTAACTTCTGGCCTCAAGTAATCCTCCTGCCTTGGCCTCCCAGAGTGCTAGGATTATAGGCAT